GATTGTTTTTAAATGTTAATCTGCCCACATTCGTTACCTTATTCTTAAAGCTGACGATAAAATACCATACAGCCGTCTGTCAATCCCAGTCCTAAAACTTAATTTCGATTGATAGCTTCAAGGACCTAAGTAGCTAGCCTAATACTGACTCGATATTTTCTGCTTTTTTTCCTCTGCCCTTATCCGTGGCAGTTATTCTCAGATTTCATGATTTAACACCCAGGCGTTACGACCTTGGAGCCGTCTTTTCAACTTCGTAGTGCAGCAATATATACTATTATTGATTAATAGATTCTGCGAGGGCTAACTTACTTTATTCTTCTTTTTTTACTATTCGTTAATATCTGCTACTCACTTTCAGATTTTATGGATTAATTTCCAGGTGTCACGATCCTCTTATCTGCTGATAGACTCTGATAACCAACTCGGTATTTACTTCTTCCTTTTTATGCCCTTATCCGTGGCATTTGTTCTCAAATCTTTTGATCACGACCCCATTATCTGTTAATAGACTCTGAGAGATAACTCGCATCTTCCTTCTTTTTTTTTTCTTATTCACTAATTACTGGCACTTAATCGCAAGTATCATGAATTAATTATCAAGTGTGACGACATTGAAGGCATCGCCTCGACATTGTAATACCGTGCTACAAGCATCTTTCCTATTATATATTCATATTTTCTGAGAGCTAACTTTCTTACTTCTTCGTTTGTTTTTTTATTCTTATAGGTGTAATTTAATGCTTGATCCTGGTTTCTGTCTAACTTCATTTCTCGTCCAGGAGATCTCTGGTTAACCAATGAGTTTAGTTCAAGCTCTAAGTTTCATTTTCGCATGGAACTACAAAGAAATGAAGGCGAATTGATGAATTAATTTGTATATATATATATATATATATATATATAAATGTATATGTATATATATGTAAGTACGTATAGCGAAATTGATTTTGCAATCTTGCATATAATGGATTATTTTATGTGCACTTTTCGAATTTCAAAAGGAATTATAAAATATCTATACAAATAATGTCTGGTAGAATAAGCGCATATTTACGCAAAAAATATTTGCAGTTGAAGGATGATAGATAATCACAAGCTGGAAAATGTATTAAATCATATTTTTTATTTAATTTCTCTTAATCTGTAAATAGCAGCGAAATTGCAAAGTGATAAAAAAGAAAATGAGTTTTTCTGAGGTAATTTGAAATTTTGAATAGTAAACTGCATAATATTTGTGCGTAAATAATACAAGAAATTTGTAAAAGGGTTTCATAATTCGGTACTTACCGTCATTACCGTTATGGTTCTTCGTATTTAAGAAAACTTTTATTTCTACACGATTTAAAAGTTATTTCGTTTATTTTTAATGAGAAAGTATTTTTTCACTTTTTTTTTTTTCATTTCAATTAAAACTTTTCACTATAATTTTTCTCTTTTCAGTTTTATTCATAATATCTAAACATTTAAAACTGCTAAATAAAGTTATTAAGATTAATCAATTTATGCTAATTTATTTATAAATTTTTATTTTTTTATTTTTTTTTTATTTATTTATTTATTTTTTTTTCATTCCACATTCGAATTTAAAACCGGAAATTTATCTTACTCTTCTTAGAAGCTTGAAAGTATAATAGCTTTTTTTTTTTTTTTCTTATTTCTATCTAGACCTTGTTTATAAAAGTGCTTGTACACCCCAAAGAGAGACTTTTTTTATTTTCCTTTTCATTTCCATGTATGTGGAAAGGCTAATATATATATTTTATTTCTTCCGCTTAATTGTTTTCATTTTTTTCAATTTTTGTATACGAATAGAGTAAAGAAAATGTCAATAGTAGTGTGCAAAAATTGCATTTTTTCTTTAATAAAATAATAGGTGTGTAAAGAAATTCCTTCCGTTTTTTCATAAAATTCAACCTGGATATAGATTTGCTATAAAGTTGAATAATCGGAATATGCAGTGGCATTATCTATGGTCTCTTGCCATTTATGGATGCTCTCGCAGTAGAAACTTGCCGATTTGAAGGCGGTATAATCACCGACGCATCAATTTATTTGAAACGTTGCTGATCCGAATAAGCGGTAATCGGAAGGCGGCAGGTCTGGGCAAGCTGAAAATTTTTTGGTTTTTTGGTTATTTTTGTGCAAGATGGACGAACGTACGCGATTATCAACATTTTTACGAGTACAATTTTTTTTTCGCAAACTATTTTTTAACTATAGCTTATTGTTTTTTTGTTTTCATATTTTTTCTCGAGTTAACCCATTTAGGGACATAGAAAAATGCCATACCGTGAATGGTGTCCATCCCATTAAACTGAGCGACAATTTATAAACAAGTGAAATTTACATTATTCCTCCCATCGATATCTAAGTTATCGGGAAAAGTGAAAGCTTTAGTTGCGTTTTATGTAGCAACCAATTTCAACGGAATGAATTCCTTTGCACATCTAATAAAAAGAAAATACTGGCCTTGAATTGAGTTTTAGATACACATCATCTCAAGTATATGCAATATCTACAGGTCTTAAAAACTGACCAAAACCTCCATCCGGACCATTTATATATGGAATTTTCTTGAGATGACAATGATAAGCATTATGAATCGATATTAACTTATTATCGACAAGCATTGTTTTATTATACATAAATAAAGTTTGCAACTTTATATAAACGAAACAGTTTTTGTACCAACCTAGAACCAATTCTTTCACATCAATTGACGGTAAGCATTAGAAAATTTCATCCATATAATTTCTTTCCAGTCCATGTTCTCTGAACTAAGTTTTCATATCGAGAAAAATGTTTTGAGTCAACTGAAGGCAGAATTAATTTATCAATTATCTGAAAGTCAGTGCACAGTTAGGCTAGGAAAAGTATATATTGAACTTAGTAAATCGGCAAGCGATAAAGACGGCAAAGTACAAGATTGAGCTAAAAACAAAAAGAAAAGAAAAAAAAGGACAAAACTTTTTCTTTCATATGCAATTTGTGCATATACCCCCTAAAGAAAATTCAGAATATTTGCGCAGGTCATGTATAAAAATTTCAGATAAGTTTTACGCGGAATATCCATAAATTCCCGGGTACTTCCTTCATAGGAGATAAATCGGGGCTTTCTGCATAGCACATATGAAAATTTCGGATACTTTTTGCACAGAATGTAAACGCATTGTAGATACCTTTTAGCCAGAATATCTACAAGCTTCACCTGCTTTCCACGCAGAATATAGATAAATTCCGGGCATTTTCTACACAGAAAGGAATTTATTCCACGCAGAGTGCAGATAAATTCAAAAGAGTGCACAACACGTATATAAAAATTTCGGATATTTTTTACATAGAATGCAATTAAATTACGGTTAATCCGCCTGAGTGGCCAACTAGGCAAGAGTCTCGACTAGCAACTCAATGGTCGTGGGTTCAAATCTCAAGTGCGGTAGAGTTTTTAATAAAAGCCGAAAGCCTTAGATGCTAGTGCTTTATGACTTTAGTTTTAGAATTTTTTCTCTGGCTAAATTTATAAAAAAAAAATAAAAAAAAAATTACGGTTACTTTTTAGGCAGAATGTTTCCGAAAATTTCGGATTGAAGTTTCTCAGACGGCGGTAAAAAATATTTAGAATCGATATTAACTGCTGCTGGTAAACGATTGGTAAGGATATTCTCAAAATTTTTATTGACAATAAACGATCCGCCCACAGACCAAATTCGCTCAAAATTCCTTACCATCGATCAACAATGTTTACGTAGCGTGCAGGAGTACATAGGTAGATAAATAGAGAGACAGACCTGATAAATTGGTAGCGATAGAAAAGCTCTTTTAATTATCCGGATATACTTAATCGATTTATTTTGAACTTACAGTCGAATTTTTTGTAATCTACAAATGCTTTCCATAATAATACTTTAGAATGAACATCTCGCGGTTCGTTAGCGAATAACATTTGAGCTTACTCTCTCGCTCGTTAGGCAAAGTGTAGAGTTCATATATGCAATTCTCTGAAGAGAACGCATAAATCGCTTAGGAAATATATGTTGACGTTTCTACTTAAGTGGTTTTTTTTGCACGTAGCCTATATATTGTATTTATACTCTCTATTAGTTGTGGTACAGGGTATATTCAGTTTGTGCGGGCTTGTGTAACATCAAGAAGGTCTTTAGTTACATCCAACAATGGACGTCATGGGCACAGAACCATTTTTTTAAACTTATGTCTGCTTGTCTGACCATGTGTCCATCCACTATCAATCTATGTAAAATTGAGGTTAGTGATAAACGTGAAAAGACAAATTCATAAAAAGAAAAGAAACAAGCAAAACAAAAAGAAGTAGAGATGGCTAAAGAACCGGGAGCTTCATATTAGCCAAGACAAGTTCCTGATTTCAATGAAATTAGTAGAGGAAAACTTTTTCTTTAAGCTCTTAGATGTTTCCATATTTCTAAACGAAAATTAACATCATTATAAAATCGCCTATGACTTGTCTCTCTGGGATATTTTGGTATTTTTCAAAATTAAGAAAACAGTCAAGAGGACTGACTGGTTACTTTTTGATGGGATAAAGAGGAAATTTTTGATCGATTACAAAACAAGAGGTCTTGCGTGAAAGTTGCTTTTAAATTAGACATTTTCTTCGTCACTTTTCCCTTAGCTAATGAAGTAAGAAGTCTTGCCGTCCACGTACCAAAATATTTTATATGCTAACATCATACATTAATAATAAATAAAAGACTTACGCAGCAGTAACGCGTAGTAAGCAAATATGATCATTAGTTTTTGTAATTATCCGACACGCGTTGCCAAATACTGTAAGAATATAATATGAAATTTATACAATACTATATACGATAAATATGAAGCAAATATGTCCGAGTTATATGTTGCAATCAAATATCGTACATTAGTTGGATAGAGGATATCAAAAAATCGTATAAAGCCAGTTATAATTTCTTTCTATGTTGTATTTACAATCTCCATATGTATATATATATATATATGTATGTTAAGCGAGTATATTAAGTGATTAAAAATATTAAGCCTTTGCATGTGTATGAAATATTAAAAATCTTTCATTTATATGCTAAAAATTATGGTATAACTTACTTAAATTTTCTTAATTGTTTGTTTGACTTTTCTTATACTTTAGCACATAAAAAGTTTACTCAAGAACCGTAAATTCAAATAAATTATAGTAAAACTTTATACAGATTTTCTTGTGCGAATAATTGCAATTACAATTAAAATTTTCTTAATGAACGTAAGGCATTAACTATTAAGTTATCATCACATATAAAATGAAAGGAATCGTCTTGTAAGCAAATATGCATATGAAATATTATAAATTATTATACCCAAATATCATCCAATAATCAGGTATTTCTTGTTTGGTTTTTATGTTTGTCACAATGATGGGTTTTCTTTTAACAATTTATGTATCCATTATGACTGTATATTCTATGTATAGTCGGAACCAATGAAAGTTTCTTAATCAGTCAGCAAATATATTTGCTTCTTGCCACGCTTTGCCACCCACCCCCCTAATCAAAGTCTAATTCCTACGTCTGTTCACTTATTTGCACCTGATACGTTCCGGTCTAAAAAAGTCGAGATATGGAGTTGAAGAATGATATATACGTAAATATATATATATTTTCTGGGTATATATTTATAAGCTGCCCACCCGTTCACTTTTGAAATGTTGCGGTCGAAAAAAGTCGAGATAGATAGCCGAAACTTATATAATGTCTATTCACTCCTTCGCTCCTGAAATGTTCCAGGTTGAAAAAATCGAGATAGAGAGTCAAAGAATATTACATATATAAGTATACATATTTTCTGGGTAGATAGTTGACTAATAGGCCCACCGTTAACATAGAATAGCAATAAATAATCCATTGCAAATATTGATTTTAAAGTTGGTAAAAATATTCTTCAGGGCCATTTGGCAAAACTCGGACCTGATATATATTTTGTGCATTCAGATCAAGTTTGAAAGTCGATGTGATCACGTACGAGTAACAAGTCTACCTTTGGCATAAAATTATTACTTATTATATATATGTTTTAATACCTAATAAAAACCTGCACCACGCCTGCTTGAGATAATGTGTGGGTGATCCGCCTATAAATATAGGCAAATACCTGAAATTTATTAGTCAGTTTGAAAGTTGTTAGACTTTCTATGGTCGCAAAAGTTGTGATAGAAATTTGACACTTCTAAGAAAGACGTAAATATGTCCTTAGTCCGTGGGTCAAGTCATACCTGGCATCCGTTACAAAATGCTCAATGACGAACATAACTTTCTTATTAAGTTTAGCTAAAGCTTTGCAGGCAAGGTTCAATTTGCATTTACTTGTGTTGCGTTTAACTCAATTTCAATGAAATTGTTTAGGTCTATCCTAAGGCTTAAGAAAGTTATCCTTTTTGCTGCACACATGATGAAAATTGCAATTTTTTCTTTAGTTGCGTGCGTGTGTGCGTGCGTGCGTGCATAGACAAGCATACATATATGTTTACATATTGCCAAATGCTTTTGCATTCCAATTTGAAACATAAATGCTATTTATGTGCATTTAGTCGCCAGTGTTCTTTGTCGATTTGGTGTTCCTTTGTAACGTAAATAAGTTAATTATCATTTAAATTTGTATGTATATTTTTTCAATGGTGTTTAATGTGTTATTGCCTTAATTTTCGTTTTCTTTTTTTTTTTAATCTACTATTTGCTATATATGCGATGATATGTATGAAACGTATGAGATATGTATGCATTGCACGTTTTTTCTTTTCTATTCACAAAATTCACTTAACAGTGCAGTAGTAACAATGTATGAAATTTTCATTTTATAATGGAAAATTAGTCAATCAGTCGAGCATGCGACATGTTTAATTGTATAGCTAACCGGAAAAAAACTCATGCTTTACAAGCTATGCGAAAATATTAATAATGGTTTCTTTTTTCTATAAATTTAAAAATGGAATTGATTGACTCACTGTCTCTCTCTCTCTCTGTCTTTAAAGTTTTTTTTAAATAACAAACCGCACAAATTCATTCCAACTGCATTTTTGTTTCTTTTACAATATGACGCTTAGAGCTAATCGTAGAATTACGAATTTGCATAATAGCTGATAAATGGTAACTATCGACGTATGGATATGGTATTGGCGGAGAATTGTGGTTTTGTTGTGGAAGCACTGAAAAAACGTTTGCATGTTAAACGCCAGAATGCTGCACGAAAGTCAACACTATAAAATGCATAAATGAACGGGTTAATGGCACTGTTGAACCAGCCCAACCATGTGAGTATTTTTGCTAATGTCTGGCTGACCTGATGTTCCTCGAGAAATGGCGTGATCAGATAGTAGATGAAAAATGGCAGCCAACAAGCAATAAAACCACCTACAACTATACTTAACGTTTGAGTGGTTTTGTTTTCTTTTTTCAACGATGAAATGCGATTTGACAACGATTTTGTATGATGATGATGATGATGTACAATGCCAGTGCCAGTAGCAGCCGTTGACCGTTGCGTTGGTTGACGTAGAATGGTTATGCTGGAAGATGTTGCTAGCGCTGTCGCTGTCGCTGTATCCGCTTGTTGCGGATTGGGTGAAGTGGGTGTCAGTAAATGACTTCCGGGATAGTTCGCTATTCCTTGATGATGATGACGTACACTATAACTGCGCATATGTTTAGAGGAATGTTGTTGCTGCTGTTGATAACGGCCGCCAGAAGTGGAAGTGGCCGTATTAAACGTCCACGGATTCTCCATGCTACTGCCTGTGATAGTCGTACCCGTGCCGGTGCCGGTACAAGCGCTCGTCATGGTCGTTATGGTCGATGAGGCAGTGGAGCCGCGTTTTAGGGACGATGCTCGTGTCATTTCATAGCAACCGCTTCGACTATGATTGGGTGATATCTGCAGAGCCAGCAACGTGGGACCTGTATTGGTCATACCATTTTCACCCTCTGACAGTAAATTCGATTCCTGTAGATCTTTCGTAATTGTCTGATTAGAACATGCACCTAAAGCCGTCACCGAACGTTTCTGATCCGAATCCAATTCCAATTCGCAGAGGTCATGATCTAATTCATTTTCCACATCAGCTGTAGTATAGCGCTTGAATTTCTGTTAGCATAAAATGTTACCAAGAGAAGAAAAGCCGGGAATGATCCCAAAAATATTGATTTTTGTTTTTTTCAAATTCCTATAGGAAAACTTACTTTATTATGTACACTTATATCGGTCATATGATCGTGTCGGGATGCTACAACGCAGGATATTCGAGCATAAACGTAGATCATAACGGCCATTGGTATGAAAAACGAACCCATAGCAGAAAATATCACATAGCCTTCATTCTGATTGTAGCGGCATTCTTTTAAATCTCTTCGTCCCGGTTCATACCTAAGCAAATAAATCAATACCGTTTCGAAGTAATCAAATGAAAGTCACCTACAAAGTGGGAAAAGAATTTCTGTTCATTTTCTGGTTTTACTTACCAACCCAACATAGGCGGGCAGGTGATAGCTAATGCCAGTATCCAAACAATTAAAATCATTATAAGAGCTAAGCGTTTGGAACGACGCCTTCGTGAATATGTTAGCGGCTGCGTAACGGCAAGATATCTAGAGAAAATTTATTAAGAAATTTCAGTTTTGGTTTTTTCTTGTTGTATTCATTTGAAATTGATTAACCCACAGTACATACCTATCTACACTTATAGCACATAAACTTAAAATAGATGCTGTACACAATAGAACGTCCAGCGATATCCAAATATCACATAAAACCCAACCAAGCTGCCATGAGCCTGCAAAAATAAACTTTTTGCAAATTTCCAAAGAAACTTCAAAGTAATCATAAACATTATTCAAGACATGATAAGGATGAGCTATATGAAAACTTTTTACCCTGGGCCCAGTTATGGGAAAACAGATGTTTAAACTCTTCACTGTTCTCTCTTTTCCCATTAACAAATTCTCATTATTAAAGAGAGAAGAGAAGAATGTTGATTTTCTTAACATTGAAACTGGAGATCGATCAGGCGAGTTGTCTTCTGTGAATTCAATGTTGTCGAAGTGTATAAAATATGTGACTAACTAAACTAATACTCGAATAGTCATAAAATTTTTACATGAATTTTGAATTTCGCTTGAAGGTCGGTACTGTTTAGATATTTTAAGAATTCGTTAATAATAATCTTATATCTGTGTTTCATCCTGCGAACTTATTGAGCAACGTGGCATGCGTACACGCGCTCACATTTTTTTTTTACACTCCTTAACGATTTGCGACTTTACTACAAAATCGATACACTACAGACACTAACAGAACAGGCTTTATCAGCCTTTGATGCTTGACATATCGCATCGTACGAGCATAAAAATTGAAGTGGTTTTGAAATAGTATTGCTATCATTCTAATAATTGTTTCCTTTCAATTTCAAAGCGACACCTTTTGCAATTTTAATTGTGGCTTAATAATATCATAGCTTGACAGGCGGAAGACATTGCAAGTGGCCGGTTCTAAATTTATTTAAGGAAAAAAAACTATGTTCAGCCCTGAGTAAATCCATTAACACCTACCAACAACTTGCGTACAATATTGCAGGGCAAGATTGAATAAAGCTGTACGGAATTGGGGAGGCGTTAAGTATGAACCGCATGACAGCTTGAAATCATTTGAAAAGAGCCGGCTACAAAAAAGAGTTCCAACTGCGAGAAACCGTAAACACTTTTTCTACGACCCATTAATTGTCCAAGCTGAAAAAAATTTTACTTATTCCTGCCTTACTTGTAATTTGTGAACAGGGTTAGTTAACTCTTTTGTTAACTTAAGACTGGCATTTCGCTACGACAAAGTTTGAAGAGGCTCAATGCCACGATATAAGGAAAGGGCAAAAATTCGAAGTGTTTGATAATTAGCTTAATTTACTGATTTTCATGATTTTCCGACATAATCTGCTGAGGATAAGAAAAAATTTGAAGCTAAGTTTGTTTTCCTAGGCAAAGTTTTATGATCACGATTTGGATTTCGATAGCTGGAAAGATAGACATACTCTATGTTCTAACGTCAGCGCCCGCTTTGATAACTTAATCAGGCGAAGCCGCGCTACCACTTTTGCTCAGATTCCCGCAAAGGTTCTTGCTGAGCACTTGTGGTTTATACATTTTCGCTGCTTCCAGCGAAGTATCCACTGTGCTACCACTTTTACTTATTTTCCCCCAGAAGTTCTTGCCAAGTTCATGTGGCAAAGCTAAGTTGTTCCCTTATTTACGTTGACCAAGACAAATTATTCAAAATTGTTCAAGTCCGAATCTGCTCATAGCTATTGGAGACGTCGAAAAGGTTTTGGCATTTACTTTCTATAGGACAGACGGTATTTTCTAATCGTTTACTATTATATTGTTGGAATAATCAGAATTGAACGACCAATAATCCAATACCAAGACATTTATAAAGGTCTGAATATTTCCTTTCATGTTCCCTAAGTTGTTGTGGACCCTAGAGGGTAGTGCAATGGCATTACTCGTACGAATAATTAGGAAAATGTTTAGTTGACATGGAGATGTAACGATTTTTGTTGTAACATTTTCCTCCCGTTCGTTGACAAATTTATGGTGGGATAGATTCTAATAGAGGCATTTGGCCGCGATATAATAAAGCTACACTAATTTATAGACATACTATTGATAATAGACCTTCGGAGAGTACAGCATTGGCTGTGGTCGCACTAAAATCCGGGGAAAGGAAAGATCATTGAACTAATTAAGTGAGAGAAGCGGACCGATGAGTCTATTTCAAGTTTTTTTTAAGACAAAAACTTACACAATATAGTTTTGTAGCACAAGTTGTGTAGAGTACAATGTAGTGAGCAGGCGGTATTGCAAGAGCCGCTATTACGCTCGAGAGAAAATAAAATAAAAGTGATCGAAATCTAATAATATTTTAAATCCTATATATTGACTGTGAATAGTAACATTGCCTCATATCGTTTCAAGCAAGTTGTTTAAAAATTCTTTAATCCTACAACAAATAGTTTTTTTCGGCTTTAGAGAAACTTTTTAATTACCTGAATGATGAGTAAATGCAGTAAAATACCTTTTGTTTCACTTTTCTAGTTAATAAATAAACAATTTGTTTTTCTCTAGCGGCCAGGTTTGTAGGTATTCAGCTTTGGAAGCTTTTTACACCCTACACCATATGTGTAAGGTATATTAAGTTTGAGCAGCTGTATGAAAGACGTGGAAGCATTAAAGACAAACCAAATTTTTACTATACCGATCGATTTAAAATCACTTACTGAATCAAACTAAGCTTGTCTGTCTGTCTGTCTCTGTCTTTTATTCTTGTTTCAACATATCGTTCACAATATTTGGAATATTTTGTTAGTACTGAACATGTCTTGACCTAAGGATTAGGATGTATGGAATTGAACCACTTTTCCCACCAGTCTTGAAACTTGAAACTACATTTTGAGAAATTTATTATATAAAAAAAAAATTGCAAAATTTCCAAAAAAAAGTACTTCTCGACAAAAATTACTTAGCATTAGTACTTGACCACACTCCGTGGAATGCGAACAATTTGGGTGAACCAAAGTTTCGAATCCCGTTTCATGTGATTGCTCCTACGAAAACGCCGGTAAAATATCTCTAATTTGAGGATCGCTAGTAGTAATTTTAAATAAAAATTCCGTATATGAAAATTGAGGTGAGGAGGGATTCTCAAGCTTTTATACGGTAAGAAAATCTGACTTTTACTGCTTTATGAGGAAGATAAGGTAACCTTTAACAAGAATAGTGAATGTTTAAATTTAGATGACACGCACACACATTTCACGTTTTGAATCAGTTTACATTCGGATTCGTGTGACCTCTATGAAGGGTATGCCTTTATATGACATGATAAATATGATAAAATTTTTGATGTTTTACAGCGAAAATGAATGAAACGTTGCTTTGCATCGCAAGGGCGTAGTGTACTCAATGACCATTGTTGTCTGAGCGAAAAGTTTTATTTATGAAAAGCTAAAAAAAATGTAAATTGCGTAAACTGGAAGCTGTCTTGGTTTCTTTCCTGTCCCTCTTTACAAGATTTTCTTTTATGCCAGCCGTATAATAAGCTTTGGATGTGTTTATTCCTTTATATGCTTTCGACTTTGTTGTTTCTTTCATGCTTTAATGTGGCTTTCATAACTGAATAAACTCGCAATGATGATAATTATGATATATGCCTAATAACAATGGTGGATAATTTGAAAGGTAAAATTTTCGCTTACTTACCGATTAGATGTACGGCGACTGCCGGTGGCATTACAAAAATGCCGACTAATAAATCGGCGACCGCTAGACTCATTACAAAACAATTCGTTACAGTTTTAAGGCGACGCGTTGTAATGACAGCCAAAATGACTAAAGTGTTACCGATAATTGTGATTACAATGAATATGCAGAAGACGATAATCAGGCAGATGCCCTGCCACGATAATATGAAATCATAAAAATGTGACCATTCTACTGTTTCGGTAGCGTTAATTGCCTCGCTAATGTTTACTGAGTTAAATGAATAATTGTTGTTACTATTGTTGTTATTATTATTATTATTATTGTTGTTGTTGTTACCATCCAGTGCATCGTTATTATAAAAAGTATAATTGACGTTCGTAGCAATTTCTGAAGCAAACAAGGATACTGATGATGATGATGATAATAACGAAGAAGATGCTGCCGCTGCTGCTGCTGCTGCTGATGATGATGGTGATAATGAGAATTCTGATGATGAAGTATTTGGTTTATAAAATAATGCACGATGAACGTGATTAATGTCATCGGTTACACTGAAAAGCGATTCTTCAATGGCCAACGATAGATCATCGCGGCCAACGCGGTGATATGCTGTCACTGCCGCAGTTGCACTTGCTGGTGACACGGTTGCTGCTGCTGTCATATACGACGAGTACATGTATATATATATATATATATATATATATATATATATGTATTGCTTTATATATACAGGCAACTGTTCTTATTTATTTATTATTGCTAACAATATCGTTGTCTTTGTTTTTGTTTATATATTTACTATCGGTGACGATGGCGCTGTTGTTGTTACTGACGTTGGCTGCTATTGTTTCGGCTTTACCTCCTACACTTGTTCTTGCTTTATATTACGTTCAATAAATGGAAGCTAACATCCATAGCGTTTGCCGCAACATTCTCAATTGAAACATAAATTACATTTGACTCTCCGTCTCTTTGTATTATGTAACAATTATTTTCGCATTTAATTTAATTAAGTATTACGCGTATTAAATACTCACGATGTATATATATATATATATATACTATTCGAATGCTTCCTTCTACTACTACCTTTCATTTCAGTTTACTGGTGATTACTTTGATTTTTCGTCGTCGATACTTAAACTTAAAGCCGTAGATGCTATTATTATAAATTGCTGTCATTGGCCTCGTTAATGATGTTCATTAATAATGCTTTCCGCACAATTTCTTATTGCATTTGTTCTTGTTTAAGGTTTAGTATACTGGAAAATATATAAATATGAAACAATAAAAGATTTTTATCATAGGGAACTCACTTCGTCATATAAACAGCGTTAATTTATGGGAGAAACGTGACAAATGATGTGTAGCATAATATATACAACAGATTAATATATATATATATAGAAAAGATTAGATTTATTGAATGTGTGAATATGAGTCCCGCCGTGTCTAAGAGAGTGTGCAGCTAGTATTGTAGAATGCTAATTAAGCTTGTGATATAAATTATATCATTAAACCAAGCACAACATAGTTCCTTGGACCTTGGGTAAGGGTAGTTCTAAGCTAACAAAAACAAAAGAAAAAAACCGAACACTATTTTTCTGAATATTTCCTGCTGCTTAAGTCGGAGGATACTTCTGCTCAGTCCTTACGGATGATGAATAATCCATGCATTACTATATCAAAGTCCAAATAACCATGAGGCACACTAGGTGAACGATTAATATCTACGATAAAGCTATGAGGTATGTTCAAGAAACAAAGCTGATTTTTCTTCTCATCTAATTTGTTCTATTTAAAGTAATTTCCCCTTAGATATAACACACTTGCTTCAGCGTTTCTGCTAATCCTTGGAGCAGTGTTCTGGGTTACGCTTTTTAATACACTCTTGAGCCCTTCGAGTCATGTGGCCTTTATCTCTTTGATCGCAGCAAAGCTCCGTCATTTCATGGGTCTGTTTCTGCCACACGTTTAATGTCGAGAGAGTTGAAAAAATTGTATGGAATGAGCCAACGGATATGACGAAACTCTCAACAGTTTCCCTAATAATAATGATTCGCTGATTTTCTATAATAATTTTCTTCACTGCTTTAACATTTTCTTTGGCTGTTGACATGTCGCGCCATCCAGAGCGGATTTTGTCATTGATATCTACCTGGTCGGCTTCCAGAAGCTTGTACTATTTGCGAACTTTTTTTTTTTTTTGCTTAAAGTAGAATCGACAAATGGCGTAGTCAATATTTTCAGTAAGACAAAATTGAATGCAGATACTTTGATCTCTTCTTTGATAGCAAGTACGCCGAAAGCACGTCCAACCTTTATATCTTTCCAAAACAAATTAAAAATGCAAAAGGATTGATAACGTCATCGTATGTTGCGGACATGCACACCATCTACGAAATTTATAAAACCAGTCTTTTGTTTTTTGAACACACTTTCTATATATCGTAGCCGGCTCCATTTGGGGGTAGTCAGGTAGGCGTGGTGCATTTTTATTTATTTCAATTAAATGAAACATCATCAACAACAATTGATGCGATAGGGACAAGAAAGAGGAGGAATATCCGGCAACAGGAGAAGTTCGCCGAGGAAACTTTGGCAGTTCTAGTCTGGGTGTTGTTCCTTTCCCGTTTTTATCACGAAATTATTGTATGCGGATTTTATAAAAGTGTTTTATTGTTTCGCCGATCGGCCTTCCTTTTTCTACAACAATACCCAACTACTGACTTTTTCGTTGATAACCTGAAAAGACCAGGTGTCCGTTTTTGCATTTAGTTTGTATTCCGCATGAAACTTGAGAAAGATAATGACTACATGGAAAGAGCGGGTCACTTTCACACAACTAATAAAAAATCGAAATCGAACAACATTCATATATCTTGTTGTATTATCAATGAAATGTAATTAACACAAATGAACTTCAAAACTAAGCAAACAAAACGAGAAGCACAAGAAAAACAATAGAAACACCGGTATACGTAGAGAATGAAAAGAAAGGAAAAACGAACAAAAGCAAAGTTAGCTGTAGCAAGTCTGCAACTGGCAACAATTCTGTTAAATAGAAGGAGTAACTTTGGAGCAGTTAAGCGTAGTGAATATATTGATACATGGATAACGATAGGAAAGAAAAATAGAAACACTTGCACGTACATACCGAAAGGAAAGAAAAATAGAAAGCATCAATAAAACCGAGCAACATCAAAACCACATGTTAAGTATTTGAGAAAGTCGAGGTTGCCTAAGCGGCGGTACATGATGCGCACTTACGACATTAAGAAGTGAATGGAACTTTAGAAATCTCTATTAATGCCGTAACGGAACTTATGCAGATTTGAGTGAGTGAATAAAGAGTGTGTTAGTGCAATTTAAGCTGAGATAATTAAAATCGGTTGTGAATTCAATAAAGCGATATATGTGCTACAAATCTCTTATAAATAATAAGAAACATAAAAATGTAATTAATTTCAAAAAATTTAAAAGTTATCAAAATGTCATTGTACAATGTGCTTAGAGTTGAAGAGTTTCCTATAATTACGGTCTACACAGTCACAGAGAATTACTTTGACTAGAAAGTTTTGATAAGTGTGTTAAAGAATTATTAGAAAAAAAAGCCTTTGCTTTTATTTCAATCGCAACATGGAGTACTTGCTGTTATAGCATTTGGCATTTGGAGTCCAGCCTTGATACATATTGGAACGAAATTGAGGGCATCGAAAGGGAAGAAGGAAAGAATCAATTCCGCATCAAGACTAAGCGTTAATTAGAGTGCAAGCGTAAACACATATAGAGACGATACAATAACAAAAATTGTATCAAAAGCAACTAAGCAACCATCTAATAAATGTAATGTTCACCTTTGATAAAGTCTTTGAAATACATCAACCATTTCAATTCCATTTCATTTCCTTTCATTTGCGAAATAAATTGCGCTACAACACAAATCGAAATACAAATGTAAGCTAAAAGATGGCAGAATATAAGTCAAATATTTTTATAATATTCAACAGGGAATCCATGTGAAACTAATATAACATAAGATACAGAGATATGTGCTAATGAATGAATACGTGCTTTATATACCAATGATAACAAAGGAGAAAAGTAAAGCTATTTATAAGCTGAGCAGCACCATAATGCACCTGCCAAAAGCCTTAAATATTTCAAGTTAATTGAACACACATCGTTCGTTGCCAAGGAATGAAGTGTGCAATAACAAAGAATAGAGAGATTAAAACGTGAATTCACATATGAGATATAGTGAATTGTAGTGGCCAGATTTATCTGTGTACATATGATACAAAAACCGAAAATTTTTGGTACATAATTACATAATATAATGCTTTCAATCTTACTAGACCGAGAAATCAAGTAAGTGGTAATAGTCGCCTAATAGGTGACATAAAAACAGAAACGGATTGCACCACTCATAATTAGCTTGCCATTGTGTTAGGTTCAATAGTGCAAACTATCTTGAGACTTTACTGTGAATAGGAACATCTGCAAAGCTTAAATATGAACGTAAGATCCAACATCTCAGGTCTTTTCTCAGTGAGTTCCAATTTATTATCAGGCCGCGGAAGGCGTACAGCGTTCCCTTTGGACCGTCTCAAGCACGTCAACATAGAATCTATAACTACGCAGCCAAGCCATAGGTTAGAAGTATATTAGGAAATATTTTGTTAAATCTGGACGGATCAATTATTAGATCGAAATCAATTTTAAAGAGATCTTTTTAATGCATCTGCACAAGCACTTCCAACCGGTTTCAAGGTATCTTATACTGGATATAACTTTTCGTTTAACCTTTAAGCAGATCACTTTCATATCAACGTAAAAACGGATGTAAAAAATTTCGAGCCAATGTTTGCTATTAATTTCAGAATACACTTTGGGTTTTGTGTTCAAATTTTTAAAATTAGTTTTTAGTTGCGGCAGGAACAAAGAGATTTCGTTTTTCACCAAGCTGTTGATGCTGCCCACATTTTTACCGTCCATCTCGGACCATAAGAAGTCAATCAATAGCGTTCGGTAGATCGTTTATTTACTGTAATGGTTGAGCCGTTGTTTTGTTCAACGAATAAAAACCCTATAGTGGACCATGCTCAACCATCAAATATGCTACACCATCCTGTAATTATTTAAATAACTGCTTTTTAGGGTAAGGCGTTGTATGAGAAGAAGTGGAAAATGTGGTCCGATTCAAACCATCTTCAATACCTTCCATTCTTGGGCCCAGACACCTGGCTGTAGCAAATTTTATCAAAGTATTTTAACAACTGCGGCTTGTAGGTTGCATACAAGAAAAAAGGACGGACAGACGGACAGACTAGCTTTTCAAAACGGCTCCCCAAAAGGATAGGTACACTATGAGGTGAGTCTATGTCAAGTGAATCTTTATGTTGCATACATGCGCACAAACTTAATATTCCCTTGTAGCACAACTGGTACAAGGTATTAAAAAAAAAGCATTTCAACTACACTGTCAGCCTTAAAAAATCTAACAAACTCTCACTGGTTGTCAATAAAGAAGCTGTTCAATCGTTTCTCTTGGGCTTTCGGCGCCACAGATGCATCAGTTTCGTTTATTCGCCAAACCAGCCAGACGACAATGCCTCGTCAGGCTAATTGTTTTAAAAAAAAAAGCGATAAGTGAGCTGTCAGTATGTCCTTGTGTTATGCGTGTGGATATTTATCCACTTATGTGAACATTTTCTGGATTTTACTTGTTAAACGTCATCGGAACGAGCTGCTTGCTAGTATTTAGAAAAGAGCACAAAATTTAAAATGAAATCTCTTGTTGGAAGATAGTTTGCAAAAATCTTTTTTTAACAGTTAAAGTTTCGAATTCTATATGAAGATAATATTGGTAGTTAAATCTCTTATAAATAAACAATAAAACGTTTATTACATTCAGCCATGTTAATCAAAACTCAATTGTTGGCACGGAAACTAAAACTAGGAACTTGAGCAACTGCTACATGTATAAATACATATTGGTTGCACTTTGGTGAAAATATTGTGGTTTTCGTAAATATGATAATATATTGCCTATAATAAATTATTATATATGATACATGAAAAGTTGTAAAGGTGCCAAGCTTTATATACTGTGTTTAACTCCATGGACGCAGCAGAGACATACATGATATGTTTATTATGTTTTGAAAACCCTTTTATCGATTTTCGTTGCGTTTTCTACGCACCACTGATATGTGAGTTGTGTATTCGTTGTATCATCTCGCTTTTAATAAAGTCTTAA